CCCCAAAACCCCAAAACCCCAAAACCCCAAAACCCCAAAACCCCAAGAACTGTATTAAAGATTGAACCTAAGGTTAGTACCAACTAGCCACAAGGTTTATATTAATCTTCAAAACTACAGAGAGGTCCTCTACATCCTCCGTGTACTGATACTACTCATATTAGTAAGAGTGCAAACAGCTGCTTGCTCAAAGCATTTCTTGAGATCACTCATCACTTTCGGGTTAAATCTTGGTTTACGATTTCTTTTATGCAGGACAATAGCTCCTGGCCTCCTCATCTTCCTCTTCCTAGTATCATTGTATTTATTTTACAAACAGATCTGGTGAATCAATGATCTCATTATATTGGTGAGCTAGCCTAGTGAAGTACTCATCTTTCAGTTTTGTCTTCTTGACAAAACTTGGTGAAGCCTCTTTCTGACTAATCACCGACTTTCTCTGCGGTGAGTTATGAGATGAAGGCTTCGCAAATGTAGACTTTACAGTAGGGGTCGTGTTCCGTGAATTATGCACCTTCATCGCTAGACTTTTCAGCTCCATCACGTTAAGTGTGTACTTAAGATTCTTCTTCTTAATGTCTAGAATTTTAGAATAGTTCTTCACAGATTTGTTCTTATAATTTTTGATGGTGTTAAGCTTGTTCTGAGCATTTGTTTTAATAACCTTTGTAATATGTCTCACACGCTTTTGGCTCATTTCGTCTCTATTTTTCATTCTGAAGACCTATTTTGCCGAGGTTTATCTTTCAGTGTGATTTTGAGATGAAGTAAAGTACACCATGTGATGATATTCATCTAATTCCGTAATCTCTTTTAGATTTGTTAGATCTTACATCTTTTAGACCAATTATTTCCTTAGGACCAATAATGGCACATCTCATCTCATATTTATACTTCTCTCTTTTCATATGGCCTCCTTCTCCTAGGTCTTTTTCATAAATCTTGTTATTTTTCATACCTATCAAAAATAAACTTCCAGAACTCAAAAATTCAAAATTCAAAATGCAGAAAGCAGTATTATCCTATCCATACTTATCCATATCCCCTTATAAACCCTATCTACTACCCCTTTCAACTCTAAGTTCCCTAAATATATCTATTTGAAATTTCTTAGCGCTTACTCTCCACTTCTCACCAAGAAAATTCCATCAACATCATCACCTTCCTTGAACACCACATGTCCTCTCGGAGTATTAATTTCCTTAATATAATAACTTAACTTCTGAAGTGTATTATTTGTCAAATGCTGAAGAGAACAAACTTGCTTCAAAAAGTCCTTGATACTATCAATGTTCTTCTTCATAGCTCTCCCAATGATAATCTGATAGTCCTTCTTAGTCAGATAACTTGTGTGACAAGGAGACAGAGCAACAATTGTTGCAGCCCTAGGCTTTGAGTTCATCAAAGCAAGTTCTCCAAAACAAGTTCCCTCTGAAAGGATTAACACTTCTTGGAATATATTCAGCTGATATGTCTTTTTAGTCTTAGATTTGTCACTACAGTAGCTCCTTAAAGCAGGTCATTTCTCAAAATAATAGTGCATATATTCATGGTATGGGAAAGAACTTTTAGATTCTTGGTTTAACTTCTGCCTCATTTCTTCATGTTTGGGGTCAAGAATACCCTCTGAAATCTCACTGAATTCATTAATTTTCAAGTTATTAGGGTTCTGGAGATCAATAAATTCATGGTTGCTAAGGATAAATTTAAACAGCTCATGTCTCGTAAAGCTCTGCTTAATAGTCTTAGGAACCCGGACTCCGATCCTGCCCTTAAGAATTATGAAAAATTGGTCACCAAAGTCACCGAACTTGAAGATCGTTTGCTTCTCATGGAAGTATTTATACTTCATAGACTTGAAAAGGGTGGCCTTTTGCTGGTAATCATAATCCGTCATCTTAAGCTTCTCAAACACAGGGAACTTTTCAAATGTAGTAAACAGCTTATTTCATGTGCGTCTTGTTCTCAATATGAGATTGGTCCTTCAAAATGTCGATAACTGAAATATCCTTCTTTATTTTTGGATGGAAAGTTGCCTCCTGAGATGACTGTAAGATCGAAAGTGTTCCATTTATATTAGATACTGACCTAATTAATGTCTGGTGGCTCGAAGGAAGAGGAATCTTGCTAAAACCACTAGATAGAAGGACCATATTCGCATGGCTTACTCTTCGGTTGTACCTCTGAATGGACATTTTTGGGTTTATTCGCTAAATAAATAATTTTCAATATGAGCTTATCTTTTGGGGTTTTGGGGTTTTGGGGTTTTGGGGTTTTGGGGTTTTGGGG